TTATTCATCGTTGAGAAACAAATCTTGCATATATGACAACATAGATGGATGGACCTCGAGTGCATTATGCTAAAAGACAAGTCATACCGAGGACAATCAATGAATATTTTATGTCAATTCTAAAAATAAGAATCACAGAAACTGTAGAACTTTGGTTGACAGAGAAGAAATGGGGAAATAATGGTTAAAGGGTAAAAAAATTCTTGTTATAAGATGTTATAAATTCTGGGGACCTAATAATATTCAAGTGACTATAGGTCACCAGTACATAATATTGAATATACACTTGGCAATTATTATGAGAGTACACCGAAGATGTCTTGGGGGGGTGTGGTCTTCCATTCCATGCAGTGCTATATTCCCAGCCCCTCCTAGATGTTCTTCACTCTCTCTCTCTCTCTCTCTCTCTCTCTCTCTCTCTCTCTCTCTCTCTCTCTCTCTCCTACCTACCTAAAATTACTAGGGTATTTCGCAATATAGGCAGGTATTATATCACTTTCTACACCTTTTTTTTAACCACTGTTTCATATCGAGATTTCCCTACCCTTGCCGATGATTAGGTTATTACTTTACACAAGTCTTAAAATCCAATGGAAAGGTTTGTGGAAGCCTTTCCACTATGACATTGTAGGTCTCTGTAACTCAATGAGAACACTCAGTAAGACATATTCAATACAACACACTGTAACGTGAAAATGCTAAATGCTGAAAGTGCTGAAGTTGTATTCCAGTTCATCTGCTTTTCCAGGCTGAAATCGAGGATATTTGTAGGCTGAACCCAGACCAGCCACCAAGGTTGCTGTGTCCCAGTTATGACTCAATGGAGCTCAATCCTTCATCTTCAGTCAGTTATAGTCAAGTCTAAAAATTCTCACTAGCAACACTGTTGCTTGCAAGATGTTTACTAATCATTTAGAGGATACTTTGTTGTACTAGGGGCTGTTTTTATTCCCATTGAAATGTTGCAGCCTAAAGGTATGTCAGCATTTGAATTGAGCGTAGAAACCCCCAACGTTTGAATTTCCTGATTTAGCCATAAAAGCTGAGATCACATTCCATTAACACAGGCTACTTGGAGGCGCAAATAGAAGGGGCTATGAAAATCAGAAGCGTTAAGAATAGGCTTCCGATGATTCCCTTTCATCCTGAAATAAGTTTTATTCACCCGGGGAAGGCAACAGACCAGGGGAGATGTGGGCAGAGGGGGACTCTGTTTTCAGTAGCACCAGGTTTCTCAGCCTTGGATGCAAGGTCCTGAAATAAGTATTATAAGCTCTTTGGGGCCAAAGAGGTACTGGAGTTCTTCAAAGGATGGGAAGTTGTCTTAAGGGAATAGCTGTATTGGACGCATAGCTGAATGTCTTCCCCAGTCCAGAGGTGCTTTCCTGTCTGTCCCCCCAGGAAAAAGGAGGTCACCTGACAATCTTTGCTGGAGTTCTCCTCACTACAAGGCCTGCATTATTTCCCTAGACTTTTTGTTCACTACTCATTCCCCTGCTGCCTCCCAGCTTCCTCGGGGAATGGAGATCTTAATAAAAAATGAGCTCCTCAGGTTTTTTCACAGGATCTGGCCAGAGTACCTCCCTTTGGTAGCTGCTTTTGGAGGAGACTGGAGATTGACTAATGGAGATCGGGGACCCGCCCGCAATGGCCTGTCTACTGTGTGCCACTGAAAACCACGTGGGCATGAGTTTGGATTCCACCTAAACAGAGTCCCAGTATGTGTTGGCTGAACTTGTAAAACCCACATTATCACAAAAAACTTCTGTGTTAAGTTAATTTTGCTGGGCTTGAGTCAAAGAAAACATGACATGTATGTGAGCTTAATTCTTCTTTCACAAAATTTCATAAAACCTATTAGTTTTGGATGTTTCCATTAACCCATGATGCCAACTCAAAGGTAGCTCCCTGCCTGGGGTGGGGCGGGGTGCAAATACTGTGATCAATTACTTACTTACAAATACTGTAATCAATTCACAGTAGGGACACACATGACAGGAACTCAAAAAGACAATTTCTCATGGCTATGCAGAAATCTCAGTTAACATACACGAAAGCAAGAAGCAAAGAGCAATAAGTAGAAACATCTCCCTGTTTTTCTTCCATTCTGCCAAACTGCTTGGGCAACACCACAACATTTCAATGGCAAGTCAAGAACATTGGAGGTCAAGTTGGTAGACCTGATCAATAAACAGTGAGTTTGGGAAAACATTGATTCCCGTGAACACTTTTATGTAAACTGCGTATTCCACCATCCAATTTGTCTAGTCCTGCTGTGAGATCAAACAAGACACCTTTTGTGAAAAATACCAGAACTCGTGGTTTTTCCTTTGGACAAAGGCAGCAAGCAGTACAGCAACTTGTCCTTCCCCATAAAACAGAGATCTAAGATCCCAGGTAAGCATTTCATTTTGGGGAGAGGTAAACTAGATCCCAAATCCCTTACTAATTACTACTAAGACCCAAAAGATTTTGTCACTGAATATCAAAACCCCAAGATCAAAATAAAATGAAACAGTTGCTATGCGTTCCTACCATGAGGATTGCTGTTCACCTGAGCTTTACAATGTGTCTAGATTATAAAAACAAGCCATTCAATTCTCAATTCTGAAGGTAAATCTTTTAAGTGAAAGGCAAATGAATGCAAAATGATCCAAGTTAGACAGCGATGGTAGGGGACTAGAAAGAAATAGGCAGAATGGCTCAGAACTCATTGTTGGAAGCTCGTAACCTACCCAAGGAATTTGGATATTTGAATTTAGCACCTAAGACTGTAAAATAAATTTGTACTATCATTATCAGTTTGTAATTGCTCATTTAATGCCAGGCAAGAAATCCTAGTACAAATTTCCTAAAATCTACCCAAAATATCAACTGGCTAATACCGTGAGGTAGACGCTTTGCTTCTGTTATTCAGGATCAGTGCAACAATGTCTGGACTGAAGGTGCAAAAAGTAGACTGAGTTGACAGCCAACAGTATCACTGATGCTCAAGTTGCTCAAAGACTCACATGAAAACTGTGTCTCAGTGCAGAACACTGCCTCCCAACCTGGGAGACCAATTTTCACTGCTCTTGGCTCTAAGTCCCAGGATGTTTTGGTTATGAGATGGTTCCAAACTGCACTTCCAGAAAGCTACTGGTTGTGTGATTCCAGCCACCTACTGGTGTTACAAGGCTCCAAAGTTTCAGCCAACATCATTCGAGGACAGAGTCCTCTCTTAGGAGCTCACTGGCCACGGAGCCACACTACTAAACAGTAGCCCAGAAGTGAGGCTCTGTAGAGTTTGTCACTCTACATTTGATCTGCCAGTCCAAGGCCTTCCATGGTTCTCCAACCCTGGTTTTACTGAGTCGTATTTAAGTGATCCCTGCACACCGGCACCACTGTTTTGATTCCACATAAACAGAGTCCCTACATGGACTGACTCAACTTGCAAAACCCAAACATTTCACAAAAACTTCTTCTGTGTTGTTTATTTTGCCCACTGAATTAAGTATACCTCACCTCAGTTTTGTCTTTGTCAGACTCTGCAAGACCACTGTGGAAAAAAGTATCATATGCCTAAGAATCACACTAAAGCACTGTCTTTTCAATTTCAACTTCGGTAACATCAAGACCTTCAAGCAGACCAAGTAAGACTTCCATGTGGATCAATCAAGGCCTACTATTAATCTGATCTGGAAAACCAGTAATGTTTTTCCAGAAAAACAGGAGCTTACGGCCAACCCTGGTTCAATCTCCAGCACTGCAAAGGGCCCCAAAGCTACCCCTGAGTGCAGAGCCAGGTGTATGCCCTGAGCACAGCAGTGAGCTCCAGAAATGGGAAATAAATAAATAAACACAATCTGATAAAAATATGAAAGACCCTTTTATATTATTTTTTAATCTGGCTATTTATACATTCTTCCGAATTTTTAATTCAGTACAACAGTGTTTTGAATTTCTCTCAAAACAAAACTGAAGGGCATCATAAAATGAACCCATCAGGCCCCACACAGGATCCTAATCTGATTCCTGCAGGACACCTTCTCCTTTGAACACAGTGAACACGGGTATGCATGCGTCTCAGATGCTCTACCAGATTGCTTTACTCCAAATCTCTATCCCCTTTTAGGAAGTTTATGTGAGGATAGCCAGAAATAATTGAGCTAAGAATATTCTACAGTTGTACCCTCTGACGTAGTAGTACTCAGAGCCTCTGATTTGAAGTGCTGCTTCTAGCATCCTTGATAAAACACTGTGAACTCTCAGCACCTTAAGAGTACACCTTCTCACAGCTGATCACTGAGCACTCCAGATCACTCCAGATCATAGTGGGAACTCAGCCTGACACCCAGCCTGACACTACATTTTCTAGCTTAGAGTTCTTTGAGCTCCTACCTATATGAAAAGTTTTCGTAGCTGAAAAGTAAGAGCCCTGGGGGCCTCATGCTCCCATCTGTCAGTGTGTTATGTGAGGAATGTTCGCTAAATCCATTCGGCTGGCAATGGGGTGTGTGGGCTCTACATGCGTCTCTCTACACAGCTCTGGTCAGCTTTTTTCTATAAAGATGTTTTCTAAACACACAGAGTCTCACAGAAACAGCCAATCACAACACAGGGCTATAGAATCTTGAAGTGTAGTGTCACTGATACAATGAAATTTTAATTTTAACAAAGCTAAACAGCTAGTCGTAACCATAGTAAACAAAGCAGCCCTAAAACATCGAGGCTTTGAGTGACATGACAACTTTTTGATCAATAGACAATCTACTTACAAACCAAAAAGGCACTCAATAAGTATTTGGTTGCAATTTGTCATCAATAACCTTTACCCACCATCTGTTCTAGATAAATGAAAATGGAAACATAACTAAAGCAGCAACTAATATCCCACAGAACATGTTAACAATCTCCCTTGAATAAATGAATTGGTTTTAAGATGTAGGAATGGCATTATGAAAGATTAAAAAAAAACCAACTAAATTCAACAAAACAAAGAATTAGAAATAAGCATTCTAGAAGTTATTATGTTTAATGCTTAAAAGTCTGAATGCACAAACAATCTACCATTATAGAAGTACTGGTGGTCAATACAATGCATTAGAACTATGTACAATGCACAGTTTAGTATCAAAATCTTTCTACACTGTAGAGTTTTACGAAACTGTTAATGACATCAAACACTAAGCACTTAAGACACCATTTTTTTTTCTGCTACCACATTAGGAACGTCAATGGACAGTCCATTTCAACTTGCAGCATCCATCCATTTCTAGTATGAAATTAATAATTTTCTACTTATACAATAAAATTTATCTACATGGTTCTCTTGATTTTGATCCATAGCAGCAAAGGCACTGTACATCAGCAGATCCACAGACTTAAAAGATTTTTTTTTAAAGCATTCAAAAAATAAAAAATAAAAAAAGGAGTCACATATCATAGTTTAACAGCAACAACAACAACATAAAAGATAACACAATGTTTCTGGCACAATGGCACAGCCTGTGTCCGTTTCAGGGACATCCAACTAAGACATGGGAAAAAATGGAGGTAAAAAAGAACAAGTCCTCATCCCGGGTGAGAGTCCATTCTTTCTGCTTTGCAGAGGGAGGCCCTGCAAGTCCTCCTCCGCTGTCCTTGTTTTGTGAAGGACTCGCCTTACACGACAGGAGTACTCCTCCCCTGAATCTGTGCAGTTCCCAAAGAACATGCCAAAAAAGAGACTAGAACTTCTCATGACGAAACTGGCAAAAGATATACATCTCCCTTTGCAAAGAAACGTGTCAAATTATCCAGAAGAGATTATGTTCTCCTTTTGAGGCCGAATTTAGTTTGTTCATCGGTCTATAATACAATAAAAAATGAATTAAAAACGTATTACAAAGACACTTGTCGACAAGTGAAAAATGAAAAATTCCAATTACTTTTATCAAATATAATCTAAAACTATAGATATATTGGTTAAACGTGCCCAAATAGACTCAATGAATAAGACTTGGCCTCTCATCTTCTAATTGCTTCAATTGCCAAATATCTTCTTTAAAATAAGTAAAAAAACAAGAAACAGAACAAAAAAATCTAACAACACGGCAACATATTGCTTCCATATGTAATTATACATTTCACATCTCTATACAGTCATTAGTCTACATTTAGTGACAATTCTTTTAAGCCTTCCTTTCCCCTCCTTTGCCAAAAAAAAGGGGGGAGGTTATCAAATACAACGCATCTTCATTTTCAATGCAGGAGCAGACAGCTTTATTTAGTCAATCATTGTTAGAAAGCCTTCTTTAAACAAAATAAATATATTACAGATATAATACATAATTAAAGATTCTGTTCACTGTTAAGTATGGTTATTCCATGTTCTTCCAAGTATTAGCTGAAGATTTGGTATCACAGGTTCTTAATGAGTATTCACAATTCGATAGCAAGGAGGAGGTAGGGGTGAGGAAGGGGATTCAACTCCACAACGGTAATGAGTATCTGAAATCCTTGGTTTTAGATGGGAGAAGGGTGTGAGAGAAAGGATGACAGAACAAAGTGCTACAAGGAGAAGGAGTCCAGTTTGCATGAAGACTTGTCCTTAATAAATGACTTCATAAACAGTGGCCTTCTTATCCCCAGAGCCAGTGACAATGTACTTGTCATCCACGGAGATGTCACAGCTAAGCACCGATGAGGATTCTTTGGACTAGGAAAGAGACAGAGAAATAGAAATATTACATACCGATAGAAAAACCATGACTCTTGAGACGCAGGACTAGAAGACATGGCTCAAAAACAAGTCTAACATGTTCAGGTGATTCAAGAGGAGGCCGGAGAGCAGAGAGGCAGTCACAGTGCTTCGGGTGTGTGTGTGTGTGTGTGTGTGTGTGTATGCGTGTGCGTGTGTGTGTGCGTGTGTGTGTGTGTACACACGTACAGGGGAGGGGATGGGGTATGCAGGGTATGGGGCTGGAACCCAAAACTTCGCTCATGGAAAGAAATTTTCTACCCTGCTGTTGAGCCATGTTCCTGGCCATGACAGCACTTCTTAAGTGCTGAGTGGAGCAGACTCCGCAGCACACCACTCTTCCCAGAGGGTCATTACAACTCCCCCCCCTCCCACGCCCTCGGACCCAGAGGGCTTTGATTTGGGTCTAGCTGTTCACTTGAGGCACCTTGACCTCACAGGAGCTGGCTTCTCTGCACAGGTCCACACAGCCCAGCTACCCACCACCTTCAAGGCTGCTGCAGAGCTCCAGAGAGATGGTGCAGGGAATGCAAGCAGATTTTCCAAGAGAGCAAATGTAAAAATATTTCTAATATAAAAGATTATTTTTTTCCCGAATGGAAACAAAATGAAAACTGGGGAGTGGTGGTGGTGGTGGGGGGGGGGGGGGGGGGGTTCAAATAAAAAATGCTGGAAGTCGAACAAAACTTAGAATGAAAGTTAAGCAAAAGTTAGAAGTACGTGCATGCTCACACATTTTCAATCTACAATTTGGTCTTCCTATAAGTTTCCAAAATAGCACAAAGTTCCATTGCTAAGAGCTAATATACGTAATACTGATATATTAAACTTTTCCATAACAGCTTTAAAATTTTCAAAGAAATATTACCATTAAGCATGTAAACAAAACACTTACATTTTACTATTTTTTTTGCTTTTTGGGGTCACATCTGGTGATGCTCTGGGGTTACTCTGCACTCAGGAAGCACTCCTGGCATTGCTTGGGGGACCAACATGGGTTGCTGGGGATCGAACCTGGTTCAGCCACGTGCAAGAAAAATGCCCTACCTGCTGTACTATCGCTCTGGCCCCTATTATTTTATTTTGAGGGGGGAGCCTAAAGTAGTGTTCAGGAGGTCTGGGGACCCCACCCATAATTCCTGGCTGCCTATGCTGGCTGTTCAGTTCATGAGCCTGAGGATGCAATGCGGCTCAGTGCTGGGGACCCACAGGGCCATTCCTGGCGGTGCTCAGGGGACCATGTGGGGCTGGGGATCAAGTGGAGACACACCAGGCATGTGTCCTAACCACTATACTATCACAATGCTCATATTTTTTAAAAAAAAAATGTAGAAAAGCAATTAACACGCTTTTCTTTTAACACACACACACACACACACACACACACACACACACACACACACAGAAGCCTATATACTTGAGATATGTAAAAAGTGACTGAGGCATTAAGAGTGGGCGGACAGCCCAATAAGCAGCCTGCAATGGTCTGAGACAGGACTGGAGTGGAGCGCCAATGCCTCTGCTGCTCACAGTGACACCAGCCTGCCTTTGGGCAGAGTTTTCTTCTGTCAGTGATGATCATTACTAGCCCCTGGGGTCTACGTGCATTACTAGAAGAAATGGACAAAGGGGGCTTCTTAACTACCGTCATGCAACAAGCACAAGGTGACCAGTTGGTGCCTCAGGAAGTCAAGTGTTACCTGGAATATACTGGCCCCATAAGGTGTTCTCCAGGCATTCAGAAGGTTGTCCTTTCCAGTGCTTACAAACCATTTGCCTGCAGAAAGAAATTGTGAGAAAGAGGATGTGTCTGTTAACTTTGTCAGAATCCCAGAAATGCTTTCCCAGCAACAAGTCATCAAACAACTCACAGACAACTCAGTAAATTTGCAACAAAGATCTCCTTTCTACTGGGTGGGGAAGCCCATTCTCCTAGGTTTAATGAGTCATTTCTATTTATGACAAGGATAAAGTAGATTAATGTCAAAGAAGGTTCATGGCAAGAAGGAAGCAATCATGACACCAGAAGCAATAGAGTTCTGAAGCGGGACACATCGGACGAAGCGAAGGAGCTCACTTCAATGCACCAGTGGGAGAACAGAATGGGTCTGACGGACGGGAGCTGCTTACCACAGTGGGCGAACTTCAGCGACAGCACACAGCTCTCATGAAGATGCAGCTGGTACTTGTCCGGCTTGGTGACGTGCAGCACTTCCACATTGCTGTTCTCCATCCCCACGGCCAGCCACTCTCCAGTTGGGCAGTAGCCCAGGGAGAAGATCTACAAGGACAGGACACACTTTCTGTAACTGGGAAGTACCATTTCTTCTGGGGACACTACTTAAATTAGGAAGGAGGATCATGATAATTTGACTCATATTGGGAGATTTAAGGCTAAAGAGTGCTAGACTTCCATCACTTGAATTATGTCAAGTTCAAGTACCAGTAAAGTAATACCTCTTGAAACCTGTAAATGGCTTATGAAGAGATTTTCCAATGCTCAAATAACATTGATCTATCTGGGCAGAAAACAGTGAATTTTTCAATTTTTGAACACAGAGCTCTAAGTGACCTCATCACAATAAGAGAATTCCGTCTATTGCATGTTTTCCTTGAATTTCCTCGAATCATCTAGAAAATGTGTCAGGTGCGACACTGCACCTGGGAGGTGAAGTCGTGCTGCTGCAGCTGCCGTCCTTCCCGCAGGTCCCAGGAGCGGACGGTGTTGTCCAGGCCGCCCGTCCAGAGCTTGGTGCCGTCGTTGGAGATGTCGATACAGCTGGCCCCGTCCGTGTGGCCCTGGAATTGCCTGCAAATATCACAATGGGGGGAAAAGCCCTCAAAAAGTTAATTTTCCACTGGGCTTAATTTAGAATGCCTCAGCAGTCAATTTCATTGCTGGCTTTCTTGTAGATTTCATTTTGTTTCCTTATGCTTCCTAATTATTCAAAGTATAACAAAGAAAGAATATACAGAGGTTGAGTTTAAGGTGTAACTGAGATGTTGAATTTCCTTCACTTTTTAGTTCTGAATGTTTAGGAAGTATACTTCAAGTTACACTAAAACACAACTGAGATAAAATCCTCTGAAGTGAAAATCAACACAAGCAACAGGTGAAATAATCAAAACCTGGAGACTTAATTACTGTACTCTGAGGAAGAAGGGGCCCTCGGAGAGTGTCGGGAATAGTGTCCCTGCTGGGGAGAGGGAGGGTGGGCAATGCTGCCAGTGTCAGTGTCTGTACTGTGAGCAGGCTAGAAAGGCAACAGCTCCTGGCCAGAGTCAGTGCCAAGGACACTGGGCGGGGGATGCAACAGGGAAAGGAGGGGTCTGAGATCCTCTCTGGGAAAGCCCAGGCGGACAGGATTGAAAGTGATGTCAATTTTGGTTTTGGAGTCCAAGTCAGAGCTCAGTTCTGAAAAATGCCCTCCAGACAATAGAGTAGAGGCCTCCTGCTGGAAACAATTCCTCCTGACTTATTGGGTGGATGACACCACTTACTTCCTGCTCCACAGACTCTTTTCAGGGCAGCAACTGTCACTTCCTTTCAATAAGATCTTTTCTAAAGGAAGTTATCAGTTCCACTGAGCTCTCCTTCAAAGGCGGACTGCGGCTAATCTAGATAGCTTCAGGGTACACACACCCACAGGCCAGGCTCAGTTATTTATGGAAGGCACAATGTGTGAGATGCATATGGTACTAGGAACAGCACCTCACACTGAATCTTCTCAAGGAAGGGCTAATGACAGCAACAGCGAACAAGCACAGATGGTACCTTACAGATGTCTAAAGAGTTCTTGAGGTGAGGGGAACCCTGCGCATTAATTACCTCAAACTGACCTCAGGTTTTAAAAACCTGGATTGGAGGAGGGGGAGAGAGAGAGAGAGAGAAGAGAAGGGAGAAAGGGAGAGAGGGAGGGAGGGGGAAGAGAGGGAGGGAAGAAGGAGGGAAGGAGGGAGAGAAAGAGGAGGGAGAGAGGGAGGGAGGAAGAGGGAGAAAAGAATCATTCAGAACCACAAAACTGATTTTAAATGTTTATAATATCCTAGTATGGGCTTATTCTGAACTGTTTCAAATAAGGTAACTACATTTTCTCTTAGACACATACTGACACAGACACAGAGACACAGACACACACACAGACACACAAACACACACACAAACTTCCTCGGGTCCAGGAGGGATCCTGCACCCACCTCACGAGCGTCTGGTTGTGCAGGTCCCACACTGCAATGTTGCCGTCGCTGCAGCACGAGAAGCACACCTTGGAGTCAGGGCTGATGGCCAGGGCGTAGCAGGCGGGCGCAGAGGACGTCAGCTCCGCCTTGATGCGCGGGGTGGGGGCGGCCAGGTCCCAGATGGACAGGGTGCTGGCCTCCCCGCCCACGATCAGGGTGCGGCCATCAGGGAGCAATCGGCAAGAGCGGATATAGTTATCCCTGTTCTGTGGAGACAAACCCATCAAGAGATTACTCACAAGGAAAGGAAAACAGCATTAACATGAAAGCAGAAATCCATAAAAGTATTGTGTTCCCTCCTGGTTTTAATGAGCCATTTTTACTTATGAAACAATGATCAAGTAGACTAATGCCAGAAAATTACATGAAATTAGCGAAGTGCTTAAACTTGATCTACGGGTTTCAGTCCTGAGATGTTTTATCTTAATTTTCGTGAAAATGCAAAGTTTTAGAGCCCACTCCTCTCGCCACAACTACCAGCTGCCCGAGTCACTGTGCCTGTGACCACAGGCCAGTGCTGAGTCACTTGCAGGCTCAGATGCGGACTAGAGAAGACGCCGTCACAACCCGGAGCAGCCACACCTGACATTTCAGAACTGAGCCTGCCACCCAGCATACGTCCTAGGATAGAGCAAGCCTGGTGGGCATCGTTTTCCCTCTGGTCCTATTTTCCCCTGCGAAAGCGTGTCCTATAATTAGGTGGCATCAAGTGGGTGCAGGACTTGAAGGAGGAACGATAAAAATGGCAAACAAAAATTTTTTAAAGAAAAGAAAATCAACTGAAATTTCTTTAAAACTGTAAAGGACAAAAAACTATCAAGCAGCTAATGAGGTACTGTTTTTAACTTAAGTATGTGGCCAGAGCGATAGTACATCATGGAGGACGTTTGACCGACCCGGGTCGGGTTTGATCCCCGGCATCCCATATGGTCCCCCAAGAACTGCCAGGACAATTCCTGAGTGCAGGGCCAGGAGTAACCCCTGAGCATCGCTGGGTGTGACCCCAAAAGCCTCCCCCCAAAAGTATTTGGAGGGGAAGGGCCACCCCAGAAATGGAACAGGAGGGCCACACACACAAGAGGCAAATGCTCATCAATGAGCCATATCTTGGCATTCTTGGTCCTGAATTTCTAAGAGCCTTTCTTAGCAGAACTATGGGGCGGGAGCTGGGGAGCCCTCAACAAGGTTGTCCAGGTCTGAAGATTACTTGGTGCTTGGAAACAGCAGTGCTGCCAATGATGCCAGGGCTACTCTGGCAGTGCAGCAGCCCGCCAACGGATCCAACTCAAGCCCCCACGAACACTAGATGTGTGCTCCACAACTTGAGCTGTTTCCCTGGTTCTGACATATGAAATATTACGTTATTCTTGCCTCATAATACACAAAGTCATATTTAGGTGCATTCTCACAAAAATCAGGAGAACCTTTTTGTTTTCTTCAATTCCTTTGTTGGGCACAAAACAAATGATGCGCCTGTTCCAAGAACAGGGCAGGGTTAATGAAACAGCCCTGGTACACATGCCCTGTGAAGAACCAGGCAATTCTGCCTTAAGGAACTAAAAGGATCATTTGGCTCTTCACTGTCAACTCTTAACCTCAAAGTGAAACACCACATATGACTAAAGACGACAACCCAGCTGGGATCAATTCTGTGTGTTGCTTGACCTTACCTCCTGCTACCTTACCCGCCATCCCACCCGGAGTGAAGGCCTGTGCACCCAGGCTCACTTACCAAGCAGTCGAGCTGGGACACGGGGCTCTTGTTGCCCGGGTGGCTGATGTCCCAGACCTTGACGCAGCCCTTGCCCCCCGTGTACACGTGTCTGGTGGGGTTGCTGATGGTCACTGCGCACACCACCTCCCCGTGGTTCAGGGTGTTGATCTGGCGAGCGTGCCGGGGGATGCCTGGTCCGATGAGAGCGTCGGGGGGGAAAGGGACAGGCTGCATCTGCCCGTCGGCGGTGACGTGGAAGGAGTAGGCTCTAAGGCAATGGAAAAGAGAACAGACAGCAAAAATGGAATATTAAAGTTTACTTAACTGATCAGATAGATAAAATGAGATACAAAGATTACATGTTGGCGGTTGGCACAGCACATGCTCTACACAGCCAAGGCCCTGGGTTCAATCTTCAATACCATGTGGGCTCCTGAGCAGGGCACAACAGCCAACAACCAAAGAGAAAGACATTCTATAAACCCAGTAAATGCTGTCCCTGATCTCTGCTTAACTCTTCACTAGGGATGGTGTGACTCAGTCAACCCCCAGGTAGCAAATAAGGCAGCTCTGGGGTAGTATCAGATCTGCTGCTTTAGGGCCCTCTGTATGTTTGCATTGTCTTCTTCAGGTGACTCAGGAGGCTACGATGGGATTCTGTGTAATAAATCAATTTACTTCTTTTGCCTACAAGTTAATTCACAAGTGAATTCCTAATGGAGAGCAATAAACTAAAATTATGAAATTTACAGTGACAATACTGAGCTTAGAAGGTGAAGAAGCAGAGGTGACACACAAAGAAAACTGGATAAAGGTTACCAGAGCTGATGATAATCCCTAGAGAATCAGAACCTCAAAGACAAGTCTCATAGGACTTCCTCAAGGCCAACTGGGACTATCTATTAGGAGTTCCATCTCCAGTTCATTTTCTGGGAAAAACTCTCTGGTAGTGAAAGCACTTGGTTTTAAGATACAACTAGGAATAGAGAACCTCCATCCAGACACCTCTTAAGTAGTTAAGAGCACATTAGTCAGAGTCGGGGTGGGGCTTTATGATGATTGTTTGGTCCTTGAAGGCAGAAGATGATAATGGTGGGTACTGGTGACATGGCCTATCTTGGAGGCTATTACAAGGCAACAGCCCATTTTGCCTTAGCGTGAAACTTTGGAATATCCTGTTTATGAGTGGAAGTTTATAAAAGACATGCCAAGGGAAAGCATTGTAGTATACAAAGGATAGGAATTTAGACTAAACTGTTGCAAAGTTTCAGAACCAAATTTAAAGCTATGACTCCTTACTATAAAAATCTATGGTCTAGTCACATTTGTTGAAATCCTACATACTACTAAAGTAACTTCATCAACCAATGGAATGTTCCCAGGAAGAACGCAACATTCACTATGGCTGGAGGTAGTCTGTGTGTAGACTATGAGAAAGGCTCAGAACTGGGAAGCTGTCTATTTGATTGCTGATAGGGGACAGACATGGATACGTCTTTCTTGGGTAAAATGAACAGAACTTGGAGGCATTGGGGTGTGAGTGGATCTGTAAGAGGAATGCTGAGAAAGAGTCTAAGTTTGAACAACGTGACTGGCCATTTTGCATTAGGAAAGGTGACAGGAAACAACCAGAGAGCATGCCTGTAAATGAAGGAAACTGTGGTTTTCTTCACCAGAAGGCAGGTGGGAGCCCAAATAACTCAGAAGGAAGTACAATTCTGTGACTGAGGAAAAAAGTCAGGTCAGAAAGACTGATGTGGTCACTCAGACCACATTAGAAGACTTATGGAACAGAATGGACGATGTGGGGCAAATGAAGAGCCAAGTAGAGGGACAGTCTAATGAAAGCTTCCACACAGGAACTCCAGTGAGAGCAGTCAATAGATAAACAGCAAAGGGGATCAAGTGGAAAAGGAGGGAAGTCACAAGGCAACTTATTACGAGATTTTTCCACCTAGCACTTAACTCCTGCTACCCCAGGATGTCATGGGAACAGGAGTGGGAATACAACTTAAAGAGCAAAGCCCAACAGCCCTGTGTTTGAAGTTACAACCTGAAGGGGCCGCACGGAGCAAAGCCGGTTATTAGCAGGACAGGCACATTAGTAAGCTATTCACAGCTATAAAAGTAAAAACATCCTAAGGTCAGGGTATAAACAATGGATGTGCGACGACACTCTGGGAATTGAGTGTGACACTGCAGAGACAACGGGCACAGGGCTGTGATGTGGCGGGTACAGATTCTGTCGACACAGGGGTGAGGGTGGATGGCAACGAAGGTCAGAGCAGCACAGAGTTCTTACTATCTATTTGGTCAATCAAATACTTAGGAAACGCTGGCCATGTGGCAGGTACAAACTGGTGCTAAGGAATCAAGTGGTGATAAAACAAATCCTACCCTTTAGAGCCTACAACCTAGAAGGGCAAACAGGTGAGAAGTAGCTTCCATGGGCATGAGTGCACTCACAAACACACATGGTTTCAGATACAAGGGATAGAGAGATCCAAGTCCCACTTGAGCCGACACCTGAAGAAGAGTGCAGGTCTTCAGATAAGGGGACGAGTATCCGCCAGGTAGAGGAATTACCAAGGCCAGATCCTTGAGGCAGAATCAAGTGAGAAGGCCACAATGTGCTAAGTGAAGAGCTACAGGGGCCATGGCAGACAGGGGCTCTACGATGTGATGTGAAGCCATGTGGATACTGTCCAGAATGGAACAGAAATCATTGGACTTGTTTATGCAAGGGAGAGACTTGAGCAAAGCGTTAAGTTCAGTCAACTGGGAAATCCTCCAATGAAGCAAAGGACAGGTAGAGCATAATCGCACAAGTCTGAAAGCGGCAGGGTTTTGTAAGACGACAGAGTACTCTTCTGGAAGGACCAAGGGAAGGGGTGAGGAGAGCAGTCACTGCCCTGGGAGGTCAGTGAATATAACACAAAACAAAGGGCTCCTCCACCCCTGCAGGACTACAGGGACGAGGTCTACCTCATAAACCAGGTTTCAGCTCGGACAGAAGGGGAAAGCAGTGATGTTGGAAGACAAGCTGAGATTCCGAGGGATGATAAAAGAGAAAGAGACTAATTGGTCCGACAATTAAGAGGTCATGAAGATGGACTCTTCAAAGAAGGGAAAAAACAAGGTTACATCAAGTTTAGCTGGTGTTACACATTCTTAATGGTAATTTCCCAGGAAAAGATATTCTTCTGTTCCCCTCCAGAACATAGTAAAAATACCAGACACACAATTTCTTTCAAGATATCAATATGATATTGCTCTGTTCAACCATGGTCACCATGCAAACCTACTATGCTTTTAGAACTCCCTTATAAAGGTTTCAGGGGCAGGGAAACAGTACAGGGCCTAATGTGGGCCAACCCGTGTACCCTATGGTTTCCTGAGTATTGCCAGGTAGAGACCTAGAGTCCCTAAGCATCCTGGCATGGCCCAAGTATCCCCAGCAATACAGGACCCATGGGCCCTTGCATTGAACCACTGGCAAGGGTGGCCAAGACTCACTGGGAGGGGCTCCAAGCCTCCTGAACTCCACCTCGGAGACCTCCATAACCCACCCCCTATTTAAGAAGATGATATGGCCTCTGTTTGCAACCAGTATATATAAGATTTGGGGGGGAGGGGGGAGGGGCTCTAGTACATATACAGCCAATTTCAACAGATTCCGTGATGTGCAGCTAGTAACAAGCACTTTAAATTAGGCAATGAAAGTCAACTCTTCTCGAAATCAGAGGACTTGAAATCAAGCTTGAAAACCTTCCCCCAACTCATACAATTAAATACACTGATAAATACTACCAAGCCATATACTCTGGTATGGAAGAATTTCAACACAGGACCTTTACCAAGGAGGGAAGAAAATGGAAAATAATATTCCAGGAGACAGAAATAGTAGAAAATAAAGGTGATGAAATGGGGGAATTTTCTGGAGTTGCTTCACCCTGGTTTTCAATTTATTCAGCAAGGACTCCATATTAAGTGATGAAAGGAGCTGACTACAGAAGTTTGTTAAAATGTACCAGACGCAGGTACACAATACAATGCTATAAAAAGCAGTACACAGAAGGCTACACTAACAACTTTAATGGATCTTCTTTGGGGAAAGAAAAAGGGACAGGACAAAACTGAGTCACTTATTCATAGAGTAAGTCTGCTAATAAGGAATTAAAGGTAAAGGCCCTCCCGTTGATCGTCGATTTGCTCGAGCGGGCCCAGTAACGTCTCCATTGGAGACTTTGTTGTTACTGTGTCTGGCATATCGAATACTCTCGGTAGCTTGCCGGGCTCTCCGAGAGGGGCGGAGGAATCGAACTCGGGTCGGCCATGTTGGCCGCTTGTAAGGCGAACGCCCTACCCGCTGTGCTATCGCTCCATATGAAGCAATTATTCCAGTAATTCAAATTCGTGACAAAGGGATGGTACCTAGAAGAGGATATAAAATTCTGTAGGATCAAACTTATGAGAGTTGGTGAAGGAAGTTAGTAAAACTGAACGTTCTGAATTCAGAAAGGAACAGAGTATTAAAATTGACTTAACATTGGACAAACTAGAGGAAAAATTTAGTCTGGGTAAGTATTTAGTGAATTTGAACAATCTACTCGTACAAAAAGCAATATATGCATAAGATGCTTAGCTGAGAAGTCCAGAGAATAACGGGGCCTGGGGACAAACACAGGGAACCAGCAAAGCACAGTGACTTACTCCCAAAACACGAGTGTGTGCATGTGCAAACTCATATGGCACACAAAGCTTCAAAGAATGAGGACTGGCTCGTTTAGGGAGATGGTTCAAGTAATAGCGCAGAACTGAACTTCAAATAGTTAAAGCAAGTTTAAAAAATTTTTAAATGTCAGAATCATTTTATTTCGGTCACTGTTCATTTTAAGAAGATCCTGCACCAGTGGAAACAAACAAACAAAAATGGGACTAAGAAGCTTCTGTACTTCAAAACAAAAGGTGAGTGGGGATGGAGCGATAGTACAACGGATAGGGCGTTTGCCTTGCACTCAACCACCTAGAGGTTCAATTCCCAGCATCCCTTATGTTCCCCTGATCACCGCCAGGAGTAATTCCTGAGTGCATGAGCCAGGAGTAACCCCTGTGCATCGCCGGGTGTGACCCAAAAAGCAAAATAAATAAATAAATAAAAGGAAATGGTGACCAAAATACAGAGACAGCCCACAGAATGGGAAAGAATATTTACCCAATATCCATCTGATAAGGGATTAATATTCAGGATATACAAGACACTAGTAGGATTGTACAAAAAAACAACTTCCAAACCCATCAAAAAATGGGGAGAAGAAATGAACAGAAGCTTCCTCAAAAAAGAAATACAAATGGCCAAAAGGCACACAAAAAAATGCTCCACAACACTACTCATCAGGGAGATGCAAATCAAAACAACAATGAGACATCATCTCACACCACAGAGACTGGCACACATTCAAAAGAACAAAAGTAACTAGTGCTGGCATGGATGTGGGGAAAAAGGGATGCCCTTTCTCTGTTGGTGGGAATGCCGACTGGTCCAGCCTTTCTGGAAAACAATATGGGTATTCCTTCAAAAACTAGAAATTGAGCTTCCATATGACCTCAAAAAACCACTTCTGGGAATATATCCCGAGGGTGCAAAAGAGCACAGTAGAAATCACATCTGCACCTATATGTCCCTTGTAGCACTATTCACAATAGCCGGTATCTGGAAACAACCCGAGTTCCCCAGAACAGATAAAGAAACTTTGGTTCATCTACACTATGGAATACTACACAGCTGTTAGTAGAGATGAAGTCATGAAATCTGCTTATAAGTGAATGGACACGGAGAGTATCATGCTAAGTGAAATGAGTAAGAAAGACAGGAAGACATAGAAAGACTGCACTCATTTGTGGAGTATAAAATAACATAATATGAGCCTGACACCCACGAACAGTAGACACAAGGGCCAGGAATACTGCCCCATAGTTGGAAGTCTGTCCCATGAGCTAGGGGAGAAGGCAGCTGGACTAAAAAAGGGATCACTAAGTCAATGATGGTTGGAGGAATCATTCAGGACGAGAGATGTGTGATGAAAGTACATAAAGGACCAAACATGATAAGCTTTCAGTATTTGTATTGCAGGCCATAATGCCCAAAAGTAGAGAGTATGAGGGAAATTGTGTGCCACGGAGACAGGGGGAGGGTTGAAAAGGGGGTGAGATACTGGGGGCACTGGTGGAGGGATGTTTGATGACTGTATGATTGAAACTCAAACATGAAAGCTTGCAACTGTATCTCACAGGGATTCAACTGAAGAAAAAGAAAAAAAAAAAGATCCTGCACCCCTCCCCCACCTCCACTTTATTCACCTAAAAGGACCCAGTTCTGTAACACACACATCTTGTTCATACAGTCAAAACTTCCGACATCTCATAGCAGGAATCAGGCCTTGAAGTCATCGTTAAAGGCCTGGCTATTGTAGCTTATAAAGTCTCATAGAAAATTAGTTCTATGTACTATATGAATGCACTAAGGGATAAGTCATACAACACATGTATGCTCAAGTTCTGCTATGTGATTGGTACTGTTCTTATTTGGAAAAAAAAACATATTTTGCTTTATAGAAATAAAAACAGAGCATGATTTCTGAAAACCTATAAGCGTTTTTTTTGTTATGGCAGCATTCATAAACCATATCCCAAAACACGTTTAGTATCATATTTTTAACGGAATACTCTCTTTTAAAGTAGCAGGGGAGGGAGACAAATCTTGTTCTTTACTTATGTTAAAATGAAATCATATAGTCCTTCCTATGTCATATTGAGTGAAACCTTTACTAACTTAATTTACTCATGTAGAGGGACAAGAAACCCAACATGAATTATCAAATAAATCCTAGTTTGTTTGCTAGTGTGAAACATGACCTTGATTATAAATGTAAACAATATTAGCAATTCTTTTTATAAAAATTAGGCCAGAAGTAGACCACTGCTCTCAAGTACTTCTGGAGAAAAGTAGTTATTTTGTGCATAGGTGATGAAGAAGACCTGTATGTTTTGTTTTAGCACAAAATATTGCTTATTTGTTGAAAATACGCACTTGACCAAATTTCACAATTCTGTGCCAGGAGATCTACAAAAGCAGTTCCTTCTCCAATAAAAATATTACAAAGTATAGATTTTCTCCACACACAAAAATGAGTATGAATTTATATTTCTTAATGTCCTTTTATTTAAATACAGATTAAAGACAGGGCTAGGAAGTCTAATTTACTCCATCTAAGTTTGCTTCTGCACTGATAGAGGCGCCATGCACCACCTGTGGTACTGAGCCTAATGGCTCACTCCCCCCCCCCCCCCCACCTCTTCCTTACTGGAAAGCACATGGCTTGGTTTACAATAGAAACTCACAATGGAACTGTGCAGAAAGTCACACTCTTCCTAATTGTCTACTCTCTAGGCAGTACTAGACGCGACTCCACCACTCCATCACTCCCGGAACACACAAATTCTCAATCATCCACCAACTCATCAATCGTCCCAAAAGAATACCCCCAAACTGTAAGAATGTACAAGAGTCAAAACTGTGGAGAAGGTAGGAACCCTGCTCAAGTCTCAGACCCGCCACCTGCCATCAGACCACCTGTAATTCTCGAACTTGGCCCAAACCACCAAATCAAGCCAATCACTGCTTTTTGCCATGCACCTCAGAAACTTTCACTCTGTGACCTCTAGCCAGCCTAGCAGAAGAGATGAGGGACACAAAATCCTGAGGTACCGGTCACAGTACATAGTTCTGAGTGTAAATGCTAGAGAACTAAGTGGTAACAATGTAGTACCTGAAAACAAGTTAATACCCTTACTTAAAGAAATACCTTCAATGGTACATAGGGTAGGTGCTTGCCTGACTGTGGCCAACCCGCGTTTGATTCCTGGCACCACATAGAGTCTCCTGAGCTCTGCCAGGAGTGAACCCTGAGTGCAGACAGGAGTAAGGCCTGCACATCGCTGGGTATGGCCCAAAAACAAAGGGGAGAGAAGGAGAGAGGGAGAAACAGATGGAGGGAGGGAGGAAGTATGGAGGAAAGAAAAGGGGGAAGAGGAGAGGGGAGGGGAGGGGAGGGAAGGGGGAGGGGAAGGAGAGGAGGAAAGAAAAAGAGGGAGAGACTGAGGAAGGAAGTATGGAGGAAAGAAAAGGGGAAAGGGGGAGGGGAAGGGAACCCTCCTTTTAAGACAAGTTCTTGTGAAAGCTGTAAATACTGGGGTATTTGATTAAACCTAAGACCTTATCTTTAGTCACTGCTTAAAATAGACCCAACTTTTAACTTCGAATTCCTTAGAGTTCTTTGTCAACAAGACTTGTCAGTCAACAATTATTTGCTGAATACACACAAGCACAAAGTCTTTCATGGTAATTGGTATTTATACCTTCAACTCTCAAGGAACTCAGAGTCTAATTTGGCTTGCCTTCCTTATTAATCAATCAAATATTTACCGAACAACTTGGCTATGGCATGGCACCATGTCTGATGCATGTTTAGAGCAAAACCTGTAGAGAAGTAATTACAGAGAAGCAGGAATCTGAAAGTATCAGGTGAAAAGTAGAGGAGGAGGAGCTGATCACGATTAGCACTGGGGGTTGGGAGCACAGAGAGAAAAGGGACACATCAGAAACATCGAGGTGACAACTGAGTGCACTGTTCGTGAATAAATAAGCAACCGGCAGGGAGAGGAAGAGCTCTCTCTCCCTCTCTCTCCCCCTCCATCCAAGTACAAATTGTAAGAACCGCGCACAAAGCAGGCAGTTTTTCAGGCACTGGGGCAGCTTCTGTAGTCGAGCAGCAGAAAGTATGGCTCTGCTCTCATGGAACATTTTCAAGTGGAAAGAGGTAGATAATGGCTATCGACAAGTATGAAAAAAAAGGCAGTGGAATAGAGAAGTACAATTCTGCGGAGAAAGGAAGAGAAGGATGCTATTTTAGATAGGGTTGTCCGGGCAGAAAGCTGTGGTAAGTGACATCTTAGCAGAGATCTGAAGTGAGACAGTAAGCCAAAGAACAAGTGTTGCAGAAAGGACTAGTCAAAGCAAATGCGCTAAAGCAGGCAAACCACTAAGGAAGTCCCTGGGATAAGGAGACATTATGCTACTGAGGGTCAAGTCTGAAGAGCAGAGGGTGCGGAAGAAAGCACTAGACCGGCGGAGAAGGTGCAGGACACGTAGGGAGCACGAGAGAGAGGAAACCAACAGAAACAGTAATGAGAATAAATACCTGCCAGACCAATAGTAGGGAGGGCCCATGGGGAATGCTTCCCTAAAGAAAACAAAAGTAGTTTGGGACTTTAAAATGTCAGTGCTGTTTTACAGAAAAGCCTTTCTATCAGGGAAGGGAGCACCAAAAACCAGAGAACTGTGCACAGACAGTACCAGAAACATACCGGATTGAAATGAAGGATGTGGAATAAGATGTGCTGAGAGATTAGAACATAGAAGAAGGGTGTAGAGCAGCTGTCTTGTGTTTCACCTTCAAAATTCATGGGGGCTGTGAAGAGAAAGACTCCAGATATCCAGTCCACAGGACAAGAAGCTAAATGAGCAAGGCCCTTTTTCTTAGAACCAAACTGAACAGAAGGCAACACTTCTTCATTTTCTGCCACGGAAGTCTGACATGTTTTATTTCAACACATTCAAACTGCAGCATTCAAATTTGCGCATCAGATTCTTTTTATTCAAGACAACAAAAGAATTGCCTTGAAATCAATAACATCGAGAAGATCTGACTGCTGAAGATGCCTCAGCGATTTCCATTTCCACATTAGACACTCAAGACTTTTACACTGACTAAGAAAACCCACCTCATTGCTCTTGCACTAAGAAAATGAAAACATCGTGCAGGGGGAATGCTGGCGAGGACCACTTGCTACCTTGGGGTCACCGTGGTTACATCCCAGGGACCCATACGACCCGAGCCAGGCACACAGTCACACCAAGGCACTGGGGTACTCACGGTTTTCCTCCTGGAATGCCTGTCAGATTTGGAGGGATAGCTGGCACACGCATGTGATGATGTGGATCAAATCCAACCTAAAATTTCCCCAAGCCAAACAACAGAAATAGAACAGACATAGTTAGAAAAATGAATTTCGTTCTAAAATCAAGGTAAATGGGGTACTTTAAAATAAGATTTAGAGCAGACAGAGAAGTTTTTACTAATGGATATTTATGATTTAATGCTTTCATACCTGGAGATAGAAAAATACATGAAAAATTATACTGAAATCACTGAAGCTCACAAAAGGTTTCCTATCCATCATCTTACTGGCTCTACTCTCATAGGTTTACATTTTTAAAAAAAAAAAAATATTCCCTTGTCTTACAAAATAGGTAGCTACCATACAGTTGCATGCTATTCAAATTACAAATGTACAACATGCTTCCACTGACACTTTTTTTTTCTTTTTGGGTCACACCCAGCGATGCACAGGGGTTACTCCTGGCTCTGCACTCAGGAATCACCCCTGGCGGTGCTCAGGGGACCATATGGGATGCTGGGAATCGAACCCGGGTTGGCTGCGTGCAAGGCAAACGCCCTCCCCGCTGGGCTATCGTTCCAGCCCCTCCACTGACACTTTTGAGAGCCTGTCTTGTCTGTGCGCTGGCTCGGCTTCCCGGGAGCCCTACACACGTACCACTGGAGAGCGTCCGTAGGCGGCGGCGGCAGCCGCAGCGGCGGCAGCAGCACTCATCTGCGGTGAGATGTTGTGCAGGCCAGCATAAGCAGCGCCGGGGCTCGTGAGCTCCCCGTTCATGCCCGCGTGGGGCACAATCCCAAACGGGGCTGGATACGGACAGGGGACTGCCATTGGGGTCCTCAGGCTTGAGGCTATAGGACCAGATGGGGAGAAGGGAAGAGAAATGTCAAGAACAAAGCAAGGAAAAATAAGGCAAGACACTGTGACGTATGTTACCAAGAAGGCAAGCTCCATGGCTCAAAGGCGCTTATTTTAATATTCCCCAAGGTCGGTCCTTCATGGAACTTCCCTTGTTTGCCTTATTTTATTGGATGCCTATTATGTGCGCCAGGCAAGGTAGGTGGCAGGTGCTTATTTGGAATGAATCACTTTCTCCAACAGCCATTCAAGGCTGGTTATCAATCTAATGCATCACACTCTTTTGTATTTACTTAATGTCTCTGAAAACAGAACACGTAATCACAAGAAATCCCCTTTTCTCGACTAGAGGAAAGAAGGCTAAGTATGGAGAAAAACGTTCTTCTTACTCACCCAAAGGGTCAACTCCTGGCGGTTTTCCGGGTACAGGCCTAAGTCCAGGAGTGGAATTACTGCCTGGGGTGGGAGCATCAGTCCGTGGAGTAGGGGTACTGGACTTGGAAACCGGAGTAGTAGACTTCTCATTCTGACAAGAAACAGAATGAAATACAATAGTAATTAAAGCTGCTTCAAGATGACGCTAAAACATTTTAAAAGGTAAAGGAAAGAGAAATGGAAACGGTCCCTTAGCTTTGGACTTCACTGTTACCAATGGAAAAGAGCTAACAAAGGAAAAATTTCCCTAAGACCACAGAACAATGTTCAGTAGGCCAAAACTGAAACTGAATCTAGTGGTAAGACAGGCCATTTCAGGGAAGGCACACGGAGGGTGCCAAACCACGATATTCTGCCTGGGACAGGCTACTTGCTGGTGACTCTAATCTGAGACTCTGGGGTCTAAACTGGGGTCCAGATGGGATATTCATGTCACAAGAGGTACTCTGTTTAATAGGTTCCATTAAAAATAATTCAAGTCTGAATATTCACAAAAATCAGCAGTTGCTGTTACAAGATCAAGAAGAAAAAATGAAAAACACAGAAAATAAACAACCTAGTCTCTTACAGACAAAGGCTCCTTATTTTCTGACAAACTGAAGAATTTCATTTCCATTAGCTGTGAATTCAAAATACTACCTGAAGACTAAATTTGTTTAAAAAAAAATCCTGCTATATTACACTGAAAAAAGAAGACATCACCGAAAAATGCAATTAACTCCACAGACACAGGAGAAGGGGTGTAGGGAGAATATTCTGACTTACACGCAGTTTCATCTGTGCATGTGATTTGTGGTGTGAATCAGGTCGACTTTTGTAAATGACAAATTACTTTTTAGATAGGAAGGGAAAAATTCTGCAGTCACATATAGAGAGATAACTCCAACAAAACTCACAATAAAAATCGCATCCAGGCCCCAAACTAAATTTACTGCAAGCCACAGGTGACAAAACTATCCCTGCAACCCCCATATATTATTATTTCTTCATCTTCACTAAGATACTTTTTACTCAATTTCCCCATATAATTTTCCATCCTTGCAAAAACTCACAAAACACCTCAGCAAACCCGTTCTATTCCCAAAACTACCTCTGTCAATTTGAATTGGAGCACACACACACACATATATATACTTACACACATTTGGAAATAAAAACTCTACAGAAATATTGGAATGTCTAAAATGTGGAAACTAAACTTAACCATGCTGAAAGAGCAAACCCTATGAAAGACGGTGAGGAACACTTACAAGGCTAAGTTCTTTGGATTTGGAGGAAGGAGTACTGCTGGAGGATGCAATGGAAGCTGGACTGATAGGGGCGTCTTTCTTGAGCAGGCGTGTCTTGTCCAGGCCATTCTCTCTGGGGGAATGTGCTGGGCTCCCTCGAGGAGAAGATGGATCCTATGAAGGAACATAGGCTTCAATTCAGCGTCCGTGCAACCCAGAAAGCCCAAGTACTTGGGTGTGGGTATTTCTCACCAAAGACATTTAGTAGTTTCGATCATCTGTTCCCTAACTAATTTGGCCTACAGTCTGCTTTTAGCGGGGGGAAAAATAAGTCATTGAGTGCACCCCTTGAAAAATCACAAGTGGAAAGTAGAAAAAGTAATGCTTGTTTATTAATAGCCTCAGTATTACTATTATCGCCCTCAGTCCCTTGAATCATTCCAACAACCCTCACCCCCTATTCTTCGAGCACCCTCTAGGAGTTCCTACCCACTTTAGGAAAAATCAGCTTAGATGCACACGTAAGGCTCACTGAAATTCTGAAGAAAATATCTGCCATGGACAGTTACAGAATGTATTCAAAACACACAAAAAATAAAATCTGACAAAACTCTGCCACGTCACTTTTACATATGGAGATCTGCAGGCTGGTGGAGAAGGCCTGGTATGCGTTCATGGCAGCATAACACACACACGCACTTTACAGCGAATAGCAATTAAAAATGCATCAGTAACATATAAAATCAATACTGCATCAAATTTTCGGCTAATAAAAAAGCTGGTCCCTTGAGAAATTAAGTCATTATAGCTGGGTAGGAGCAAGAAGGTAAATGAGCCATAAAACATACCTCATTGGAAACGTCGACCACCAAATTGTCGTCACTCTTCTCCCCGTCACTGTCCTACATTGACAACAGACAAAGTCACCTCCTCTGCCAGAGCAACAGGCCCCCGATCTTCCCTCATTAAATGCAGACTAATTTTCTCACATCTCAGGAACCAAAGCAAAGGGAACTGATAAACTGAAAATTTTGCATCTTTTGACCCTCACAAATGATGTGATAAAGTTGGTATTAGGATTCCATTTTATAGTTAAAAAAAAAATCGGAGAAAATTGCTTGTTATTTTAGAGAATCAACTGTAAGTTGGCATATTCACACTAAATCTTACTTACAAATGATCTTGTTTTCATGTGTTATACATCACTTTGACAAAACAAAGTAGCCACAACTTTAAAGCTGAGAGTTTTCACTCAAAGACCCAAATTCATCGTTTCCCTTGTGGCCTCTACTCTCTGTTTAGGTATGTTTGCTTTGGGACCATACCCGGCAGTCCTGGTTTGGCACTCAGGGATCACTCCTAGAAGTTCTCTGGAGGACCTTATGAGAGCCGGGGACAGAACCTGGGTTGACTACATGCAAGGTAAGCGTCTGACCCCTGTACTGTCTCTCTGGCCCCAGAGGCCTGGACCCTTGCAGGTACAACCTGGGTCTGCTGGCCTACTGCCACATTCCCTTTACAATGTGCCCTGAGGACAAACCAGCTAATGGAGAAAAAACAGCGGCAGCCCACACAAGAAACATATTTTATTCCTCAGCACGAGTTCTAGAAATTTTTGATTATCAAATCAGATTTGACAATTTAATTTTAGCTGATCACAGAAGAGTCATCTATATTGAAATACACAGAAATAGTATGATACCGTCAAATACTCAATTAGCTGCCAATAAAGCACATCCACACGCACTCTGGCTGGCTCTGCCACGCGGAGGCCTTCAGCGAGCCTCCAGAAGGCAGCCCATTTTTTTTCTCATAGAGCCTTATTTTGTGTTCAATTTTGCTGATAATGGACAACATATAAATGGTTTTCACTGAAAGCAAGGTAAACTAGGCTCTTTCAAAGCAAAGGAGAATGAACTTACATAACGAGCCGCAATTTCCTTTTCTTCAGTTTTCTGCTTTTTGTTATCAGAAGAGTAGTCCGTTGAATTTCTGTGCTTCTCGGCGCCTCGGAAACTGGCTGATGGGGATACGGAGGAGCTCTAGGAGAAGAAAGGGAAACAAGGCTGAGAAATGATCACCCCGAGTAGAAAATTTTTTAAATTCCTTGAAATCTGATTTCCATTTTGTTCATTTGGAACAGAACACACTTGTTAAACTGTTAAGAGCGGCACTCAGGGGGGAGGAGGGGAAGGGGAGAAGAGAACAGAGGGGACCAAGAGACAGTAAAGAAAAGGAAAAGTGAATTGGGGGCTTTGGGCAGAAGAAAGGTTGAGTACACAGACTGCACAGGGCGAGAGAAGTGCAAAGGGAATCAGACTAATATGGTAAGGAGATACTTTCAACCACCCCCACCCCCATACCACCACACACACACACACACACACACACACCCCAATTTATGAATAAATCAAAAGTCTATCTAACAAGAGGAGTGGCACCTCTTTGTGGATTTACGTAAGCACCCAGAACTAGTGAGTTTGTACACAAAGGACTATTTACGGAATTTTGCAATTTTGCATCTTAAACACCTGCAAGCACAGATTAAATTTTTGTTTGTTTGGGGGCCGTACCTGGCGATGATCAGGGGCTCTGCACTCAGGGATCACTCCTGACAGGTTTGGGGACCATATGGGAAGCCACACGTCAAACTCAGGTCAGTAATGTGCAAGGCAAATGCCCTCCCCATTATACTACAGAGCTCTGGTCCCTAGATTTTTAAAAACGATAATAAAACCCCCTAACCAAGTCATATCAACAAAACTGTAGTATATTTCTTTTTTTTTTTTTATTACACTCTGAGTTTTCATAGACCTGCTTTCTACCCTGGAAATCCAGGAAGCCCCATGCGACAGAGAATGGGGACAGACGACCCTCCCTTGGGGATCATAGCATGGAGTGATACGCACAGACTAAGGTCACATTCTTTACTTCTGCTTCCCTCCCTCCCGCCCCCCCTTCCCTCCCCCCACCCCCCGCCGAGAAAAAGACACATGGGACACAGACGTCAGGAACTGGATCTCAAGGGCAGAGAGTGAGTTTGTCTGATATCAGATCCAGGTAATGGTTACTGGGCACATTTAGTTGGCATGAGAGTCTAAAGCATGAATGAAGAAGCAAAGCACGGAGGATGGAGGAGCCCTAACAGCGACTTTCAGAGGTGGTGGTGTGTGATCTGGTAGGAGAGACCAAGCAGAAGTTCTAAAGGTGCCTAAGTGTACGGCTGATCAGGCTGGTGAAAACAGGTTGTAAAGACCTAGAAACCAAGCCCAACAACAGGGCCATCTCCCCTAACTGTTTTGTGGTAAGACAGAATAGATCTTGGAGAGCCAAGAAAAGAATATCTTATCAGGGAATAAGAAAAAAAAGAATCACAACCAGCAAGTCAATTCCTCTTCCTCACACAACTGCATCTTATGTAAACTTAACAACTTCTGCTTTTCTTATCTTAGTTCGCTGATAATAATTAACATTTTAATGATATAGAAAACTTAGAAGGACTTTTAACTACAGGAAGTAGCATACGCCCAGAAATGTGGCTTTACATACCCTTTTACTTCCACTGAAATATAATGCTTCGTTTTTGTTTGTGTGTGGTTTTAAAGTTTTAAAACAAGTTGCTAAAAATAAGTAAATAAATGACCCTATAATTTTTTCCACAGCTGGATTAGTACAGCACCCGGGAGATCACCCCCTAGTGGCCAGCAGAGGTGATGGCCTCTCTACCACCAGCTCCAAAGGCAGAGAACGCAGAGGAGGATGAGAAGTACCAGGTGAGCAGCAAGCACTGACAGGAGCTAGAGATCTCCCAATTCTTTCTTCCCGTACCATTCTTCACCGAGGGTTTCTGTGAAATCTCTAAACTGTGTGCATTCAACCCCGAGACTATCCTTTTTCAAATTTATGTTTGGTGACAAAAAAAAAAAAATGACAAGACATTAGTAAGGCCAAAGGTTGAAGAAAAGCGCTGGATAAGCATTTGAGAAGCCAGCTGTTTCTCGACTTTCACGTTCTCCACCAAATTCCAATAAGACCCGTTCAAAGCCTGGGTTCTGCTTCCATACTATGACCCAACACAGATGGGTTTTTAAGAACATTATCAGAATCATGCCCACAAACATCTGTGGGCTACTACTGACTACCAAGCGTATTAAATGCCAGAATCCCACATACAGCTTCTTCCCTCTCCAGTCTATTCTCCACATTTGTGCAATTCATCTTTTCTGAAGAGAAGTTGAACTGCTTCTCACTTGCTCTTAAGATACGAACAACAACAACAACAAAAGACAAAATGTTTTCTGTAGTCCACAAGAAAAAAAAAGGTCCTAATTTGTATTTCTAAACCCTTCCCGCATCATGCCCAATCCACAGTCTTGGTGATAGTGTCAGAACTGCGTGCTTAGTTTCCCCATGCTCTATGGATTTTCATTACCTCCAGTCTTTGCGTTTCCCTCTGGCTTTCAAAATGCCCTTTTCTGGGTTAACTGTCTTTTCAAATACTCCTCGTTCTTTAAAAAAAAAATTTTTTTTTTAATTTTAGACCTCTACCATCACCTTTCAAAGTTTTCTCAGTTGCTGTCAAGAACAAAATGATTAAGGACTCATTTCTCTTTTTTTCCAATAAAACATTCACCCAACCCAATGAACTTCCCACTCCAGCCTGCAGTTGTGTGGGGAGAAGTGGTACCAGGCCCATGGAAGAGCAGAGAACTGGCCAGCAATGTTTCTGAACAGAAACAAGTAAATATCCTCTCTGTCCTCTTTAATCTTATCTACTTGGTTTCGCTTTGGGGAGGGGGGGGTGGGGGTGCACCTGGCAGTGCTCAGGGGAACAGAGATTGAACCCAGGTCAGTTGTCCTGCAAGGCAAGCACTTTACCCACTGTACTATCTCTCCCATACCTCAATCTTAATCAAAACTTCACGTGACAAAAATATAATCCCCTTCAGACGGATACTAAATTGAACCGGTGAAACCAATCACTAAGGTAAGTTCTGAGCAGCAGTAACCCTTGGAGCAGACAATTTTGGCAGCTTCTTTCACCTTCACAACCTAAATCTGAAGTTCTTAAAACTGTAGGTTTTAAAATCCCTGTCTTTCTAATACTCTAACATGGCTGCAGGCTGGATCACCGTAACAACACCAGGATACTCTCTTAGGGTGAGGACTAGGCTTCAGTGCTCTTAAGTTTGTTGAGAGTTCAATGTGCATCATCTTTGAGAACCAATTACCAAGATGACTTTATTTTACCAATTTGGTACTGTACAAAAATAAGGAATAACCAGAGAAGGCATGTGTTTGATGAGCATTCAAATACATCAGAAAGTAATTTCCACTCTGTCCAAAAGGATAAACTAAGTTTTCAAAGAATGATTAATTACTAGCCCGTTAAAAATTAATGTTAAATGTTAATGTGTATTTATATCTTTATGCTTATATTGGTGCACATGTGTAAACAGCTTTATCTTTTCTTACAATGGCTGTTCTGGTCCTATGGACAGTCTTTTGTGTTTTGAATTTTATTGGAGGACAGTTACATGTTGGAGTTTCCTGGAAGAATGATAAAGTAGTTAATTATCACTAACATTTAAAGGTTAAGCTGCACAATGGGCACTGAGGCAATCAGCAATGTTCTAATAACATAATTGCTCTAGAATCAAATTGGACTTGGCATGGACTCTCATCATAAATTGTACAACGCCACCACCACTCTGTCATAGAAAGGCCACTTGGATCACTGATGGGCAAATGAACAGGAGGAATACTGTGTTGCTTTTTCAAACCAAACATACTTTCACTAGACAAGTTTCCTTTTATATTCTCTCTCTCTCTCTCTCTCTCTCTCTCTCTCTCTCTCTCTCTCTCTCTCCCCCCCCCCATCCCCACCCCCCCAGAACTGTCGAGTCACACCCGACAGTTCTCAGGGCTTACTCCTGGCAAGGCTCTGGTGCCAGGGATGGAATCTGGGTTGGATGCACCCTACCTACTGTACTACCTGCAATCCTCTGGCCCTGTATTCCTCTATTTTTAATCTTAAAAGCTCAGCTTGGTGAGCTATTTCTCTAGATTATTACATAAGACTCCTACTGGAGCTGCCTTATGACTGCAGACATCTATACTATTTAGAAAGGTTAAAATAGAAATCTTATTACAGTTTGAACATGTAAATAGATCTTCTACTATGACATAAAAGAATGTCACAAACAGAACAAAACAAGTTAAATGTGCAGAAGAGAAAGGGAGAGAAGACCAGGGGGAAAATGGCGGCGGTGGTGGTGGTGTGTGTTGGTTCATGTGTGCGCGCAGGCACGTCCCCTCTCCCACAAAATGTTTAAGTCTTTATATGGAAATTACAAATGCTTCACAGCAAAGTTTTAAAGACCGAATTCCTCACAGGACAAAGCAGGTCATCATCTCAAAGTGAGAAGCACTACAGGTCAGGTCATACTTTAAAATTCAGACCCAGACTGTCCTGAGGCTGTTGATTAAGTTGGCTGGAAATCTGACACCTCTAGCAATCTAAGGGGATATGCTCACCCCTTCATTTTCACTGTTCCCCTGAAGATCAAAGATGGCCATGCATGAGAAGAGCTGGCAACACTGCAATTAGTTAATTTTAATAACAGGTAGCACCGACTTTACTAGCAGTAGTCAGACTGCTGGGTCTGAGTCTAGAGTCTTCCACTTAATAGCGGGGTGGCCTTGGGGAGATGGTGGGGTCTCATACTCCCTGTGGTATGGGACCAACCCTTCCTCTCTCCTGGCCCACCCTCCATCCCTTGCAGGGCTTCTATGAGAGCTAATGAAAAGGAGCCCCACAGTCTCAGGCAGACAACTGCGTCCTCCGCATTAACAAGCTGGCATTCTACAATGTACTACACTTCAGCCAACCGTACTCCCTTCCCACTGGGACCGGGATGTTGATCTCGTAATGCGGGTTTATTTTAACAGTCATATGGAAGTGCTATTCTAGGCATTTGTGCAGTATAATCCCTCAGCAGAGATATTCCAAAGGTCCATAATGACAGGGTTTCACTAAGCT